TCCTACACTGCTGGTGGGAATGTAAACTAGTACAACCACTCTGGAAAAAAATTTGGAGGCTACTTAAAAATCTAAAAATTGATCTCCCATGTGATCCAGCAATACTACTCTTGGGGATAGACCCAAAAGACTGTGACACAGGTTACTCCAGAGGCACCTGCACACCCATGTTTATTGCAGCACTATTCACAATAGCCAAGTTATGGAAACAGCCAAGATGTCCCACCACTGACGAATGAATTAAGAAAATGTGGTATCTATACACAATGGAATTGTATGCAGCCATGAAGAAGAACGAAATGTTATCATTCGCTGGTAAATGGATGGAATTGGAGAACATCATTCTGAGTGAGGTTAGCCTGGCCCAAAAGACCAAAAATCGTATGTTCTCCCTCATATGTGGACATTAGATCAAGGGCAAACACAACAAGGGAACTGGACCTTGATCACATGATAAAAGCGAGAGCACACAAGGGAGGGGTGAGATAGGTAAGACACCTAAAAAACTAGACACCATCTGTTGCCCTCAATGCAAAAAAACTAAAGCAGATACTTTAAAGCAACTGAGGCCAATAGGAGAAGGGGACCAGGAACTAGAGAAAAGGTTAGTTCGAGAAGAATTAACCTAGAAGGTAACACACATGTACAGGAAATCAGTGCGAGTCAACTCCCTGTATAGCTATCCTTATCTCAACTAGCAAAAACCCTTGTTCCTTCTTATTATTGCGTATGCTCTCTCTTCAACAAAATTAGAGATAAGGGCAAAATAGTTTCTGCCTGGGTAGCAAGGGGGTAGGAGGGGGAGAAGGAGGGGGTGGGAGGGTGGATAAGGAAGGGGGTGGGGGAAGGGGGGAAGAAATGACCCAAACATTGTATGCACATATGAATAAAATAAAAATTAAAAAAAAAATAGAATGGGGAGGTTTGGTGAATTCCTCTCTGTGCTTAGGAGTGGATGTGCTGACAGCCCTTTCCTGCAGAAGATGAAACTGTGTGAAAAGCCCTTGGCTGACACAGGCACAGTGAACACTCAGGATGCACTTAATGACAAGTGTTGTTCCCAACACTGATCCTTGATTTCCTACCACTTCACCAGCTCTCAGCAAGATAAATCCTATCCCATGAATGGCTGCCCCCATGCACTCTGCTCCTAACCTGTTCCTACTGCCTGGATTCCTCCTTTGCAGCCCTGAGCTCTCCCTCCTCTACCAGGGTGAGTACATCCATCCCTAGCTGCACTGATTCTAGCTGCTCTAGGCCGTGAGCCCTGCCTTTAGCCTAAAATGCAGGCTCATGTGGGCAGTGCTCCCAGTGGACTCACCAGCAGGACTGGAACATTAAAAGATACAAGTCAATAGGTCCTCATGATTTTCTGGGGCTGGGGGTGACTTGCATGAGAGCAGGAGTCACTCCTGTACCTGTTTTGTTCACTGCTGTATCTCCAGGGCCTAGACAGCTCCCTGACAGACAGCACGTTCTCAATAAGCCCTCAATGGGGAGGAAAATGAATGAAAGTGCAAATAATGAAGAAAAGAGTGAGTGGGGATCAGGAACTAGAGTGGGAAAAGCTTTAAAGTTTGTAACGTCCTGGATGTGCTGGTTTTGTGTTCTACCTGCTTCTCTTTAGTGAGTAGCAATAATGTCATTACAAGGAACAGAGTTCATGCGCTGGCTGCACCTTCAGTGTCCTGTGATAAGAGTTGCCCTGGACATAGGGCCACTGGTGATGGACACTGAGAGGTAGGAGGAGGACAAAGATGCCTGTCTCAAAGGATGGTCAATGACATGGGAGCCAGTGGAAACTCCACGAGAAGCCACCATTTGTCCTATGTCCTAAGACAGAGGGTGTGAAGAAAGAGAAGTACCTGCAGTTTCCCTCCTGGAGATCCCACTATTGAGAGGATTGCTCCCCAGCTCCTGCCTCAGACTGAAAACAGACCCTCAGCAAGGCCCTCATCCCAGTTGTGGGCAAGTCAGGAGATAGAGCCTGCTCTGAGGTTATCACAAGGTTGGTATTCCATAAATACAGCTGTTTCTTAGCACTGATGGTATGGAAACCTAGAGCATCACCAACCACATGTGATGTTCCTCCTCTACTTCTCCATTGGGTTTCTTTTCCTGCCTATTTTCTCTACGAAGAAGGAAATTCAGGAGGCTAGAGTCCACCAAGCTCCAATACCAAAGTCTTTCACTTCAAAGCAGTCACCTCTGTGAGCCCAGATGTGTATCTGCACCTTTTCCTGACTCTACCTAGGCCCATTTTTCCCATGGAAATGAATCATGAGCTGCCTTTGGGCAGTAAACCCAGGCCCCAAGTGCTGGAAAACAAATTGCTATTTCTCTTTCCTCCGGCCATGTGACTGTCTTTGAGCAAAAGTTAATTCTAGTCAGCCCCTATGATTTCCTGAAATTCAGGCTTGCTGTGATCTTTCTGGAAATGTGTGCTTCCCCATTTCTGGTGCACAGCAAATCTGTGGTGCCTTGAAGGCTGAGACAGACCTCCTCCTGGGGATGCAATCCCCACCACTATGATGATGTCATACTTGGGGCTAGGGGACACAAGCAAGGTCCTTTGCTATTGTATGCAGCATTGTGCCATTTTGGAACTCTTCTCTGGAGTTTAGGGTTGGCTCAGCCCAAGACACATGGATGCTACAGCCACCTCCTTGTGGAGCTAAAATGTTTTGCACAGTTTATATGAACAGGCATTTTGCTCTCTTCATTAACTCATTTCATGCTCCTAAAAAGGTATGCGATGTTATTTCCCTCATCTTTCAAACAAAAAAAAAGGAGGCTTAGAAAGGCTAGCTAATTTGCCCAAGGTCCCCCAACCCATAAGAGGTAGAACTACCATTGGAACACAGAAAATGAAACTTCACACTTCTGCATCCTCGCATAAAGCAGGGGGGCTGAGGAAGGAGGAAGGTGAATATAAGGGTTTCCTTTGGGCTGTGACTGAGCCAGGCCTTTTCAGGAAGGGAAACTAACATCTGCATAGAATGGAGGCAGCTGTCTGGCTCCCCCAGTTCCCAGCTGGTGGGGAATATGTTGATCCCAGTTAGAATTTGCACTTACTTACATTATCTGGGCATTTCCTTGGCCTTCTGAGCAGAAAGAAAAGCCTTTTCACTGGCCATTCAAGGGAACCTGGCCTCTGACTCAGCAACCCAGGGCCCCTCGTCTGATGGACATAATGAACTCATCCTGCATCTGCTCTGCCCACACCTTCTTCCCCTGCAAAGGCCCCCTCCTGAGGTCCCCGTTCTGAAGACCAGCCACTGAACTAGGGACTCCAAGAACAAGCCCTGCCAACCATCGGTTTCCTGCCCCCAGGCCTCACTTTCACTACCTGAGCACCTCTACCCCCAGGGAAACCACCAGGCAGCCTGAGGTTAATACCACCTGCCAAACTCTGCCCTGCAGCTCATGGGCCTGTATGAAATCTCAGCGAACCACACCAAACCTTCTGACCTAAAACTGGAAGGTGTAGTCTGGTGGAGTGGCTCAAGTGGTAGAGTGCCTGCTTAGCAAGCATGATGCCCTGAGTTCAAATCCCAGTACCAAAAACTGAGGGGGAGGGAGTGTATATACTCAGATTACATGCACCAATTCTCAAAAATGTTACTCTTGTGGCAGAGTGAGATAGAAAATTCGGTCTTTTTGGAGGGTGGACATGAAGCAGGGTCTTGCTATGTAGCTCGAGATCCTCAAGCCTCTGCTTCTCAAATGCTGGATTGCAGGCATGCATCACCATACCTGACAACACAATGTATTTTATCCTCAGCTGTCATCCCCCTGTCTTCTAACCCTGAGTCCTACACTTCCGCCCAGTCGGATCTTCACCCTCTGCTCTTTGGCCTTCCTTAACAGAGAAACTGCTGACAAACTGCCCAGTGTGCTCCCTCACACACAGACTTGCTTTTTTCTGTTTACAGAAGTAAAATTTGTACACCATCATTTGAGAGGCGTTATGAAGGAAGATGAAACTGGCAGGCCTTGCTGATGGGCTGAATGAAGTCCCATTCAGGAACCATGCTGAGGCTTTTTGCATGAGCGTGGGGATATAGAGAAGACAAATGGAAGGAAGTTTCTAGCAGGCAACCCACAATTCAACTTCCTCTTTTTGTGGTACTGGGGTTTGAACTCAGGGCCTCACACTTGCTAGGCAGGTGCTCTACCACTTGAGTCACTCCACCAACCCTTTTTTTAGTGATGGTTTTTTCAAGATAAGGGTCTCTTGAACTTTTTGCCTGGGCTGGTCTTAAACTGTGACCCTCCTGATCTCTGCCTCTTGAGTAGCTAGGATTACAGGCGTGAGCCACCAGCACCCAGCTTGGTTTCCTGAATAAAGGATATTCTACCCAAGAAACTACAAAGAGGAACCATGGGAAGAGTTCCTCAACCTCCCAAAATGGGAGGCGAGAGCCTGGGGAGCAGGGTGGTGAGGGACACTTGGGGCTCCCTGTGTTGCAGCATTTTTCACTGTTCCTCAAGCAGCTCCCATGAGAACAGGAAAGGCAGAGGCCTCAGAAAGAGGGATGTGTAGCATTCTACCATGTACTTGAGTGGCAACTGAGCCAAAAAGGAAATAATATACGGGAACACTGGGCCCTGGTGCAGCTGTTTTACCAAACAGAGAAGAAACCTCACAGAGCAAAGTTCCCCTGGTCCACCTCCTGCAGGTTGCTGTGCTAGACAAGCAACGGGCCTTAAAGATTTCCTCTTACTAAAGAAATACTTCAAGAACAGGAATAATACTAATGACAAAAACGACAGACACAGATAAGGTAGGAAATAACGTAGAAGAGCCATTTAGAGGCTGTAAGAACCTTCTAGAACCTTGCAAGTTAGCCCACAAGTGCCCCCTCTGATTGGGGGTGGTTTGCAAACCAGTGTCACTGATATGAGTTTTACTGTACTGTACATGGATGTAAGTCACAATTATTTATAAGTAATAAGTAACTATACTTATTATTTGTAAATAAGTAATAAGTGTTTATTTCTTTAAGTAAGATCAATTTGAGCTGGACCTCATCTACTTGGTGAGTGGAATATTCAATCTAGGTTGCTGTTCAGATGTTCTCTGTCACTTCAACATCCATCCCCTGCACACTTACACATGTGCACAGGAGCCTGCAAAAGGTTTGACACTGCAGGGCGCAAGCATGCCAGCAAAGGGGGACTCAATCCTAGAGATGAGTCATTTGGCTTCACAATGTCCAGTGTTGGTCCCCATTGTTTGTCTCTCAGATCTGGCTACCCCAGAGGCTCAGGAATGCCTCTCACAGAAATGTAGGCCATTGGGTTGGGGATGTAGCTCCGTGGAAGATCACTTGTGTGCATGCATGAGGTCACAGCTTCAATCTCCAGAACTGCCAAAAAAAAAAAAGAAAAGAAAGAAAGAAAAGAAAAAGAAAAAGAAAAGAACTGCAGGCCATTGAGCAGCAGCCCCAGGCCATTTTTTCCACCCAGAGAGCCAAATATGCTTCCCAGACAAGCTCACCAACCTCTCTTCTTCAGGCTCCAGCCCCTTATCATGGGCTTTGTCTTCAAAATTCTGGGGAAGAATTTCTGCTGTATTCTTTGTCTTTGGCCCTGCAACACAAAAAGAAGCCCAAAGTTTAGGCCTAGGCAACCAAAAAGGCCTGACTGTCATCTTGGGGATGTGATGGGAGAGGAAAACAAACGTATATGGCAGGAAGAACAACACCCCTCTTGCCCCAGCTCACTGACTCTGAAGAAGTCAGTGTTTAGAAGGGATGACAGTTGCCTTTCCCTGTGCTTGTAGGTGAAAGCATGGAATGCAGGAGGAAGGGTAAACTGCAGAAAGAGGGAGCACTTGCTAATGAAATCCATTGAGATGGGCACTATTGGTCATCAAGACACTAAAACATCTCAGAGAGCCAGAGTGCAGTAAATGACACAGAAGAAGAGACACCCTCCCTAGGCTGTAGAATAGAGAGACAATTGATGTGGCCCACTAAGCTTTGGGCATTCACACAGGTCACATATATGAAGGGAGGATGGCAGAGACTAGGTTGTGAACAGGTGTTGGCAAGGATGCGGGGAAAAAGGAACCCTCTTACACTGTTGGTGGGAATGTAGACTAGTACAACCACTCTGGAAAAAAATTTGGAGGCTACTTAAAAAGCTGGACATTGATCTACCATTTGATCCAGCAATACCACTCTTGGGGATATACCCAAAAGACTGTGACACAGGTTACTCCAGAGGCACCTGCACACCCATGTTTATTGCAGCACTATTCACAATAGCCAAGTTATGGAAACAGCCAAGATGCCCCACCACTGACGAATGGATTAAGAAAATGTGGTATCTATACACAATGGAATTGTATGCAGCCATGAAGAAGAACGAAATGTTATCATTCGCTGGTAAATGGATGAAATTGGAGAACATCATTCTGAGTGAGGTTAGCCTGGCCCAAAAGACAAAAATCGTATGTTCTCCCTCATATGTGGACATTAGATCAAGGGCAAACACAACAATGGGATTGGACTATGAGCACATGATAAAAGCAAGAGCACACAAGGGAGGGGTGAAGATAGGTAAGACACCTAAAAAATTAGGTAGCATTTGTTGCCCTTAACGCAGAGAAACTAAAGCAGATACCTTAAAGCAACTGAGGCCAATAGGAAAAGGGGAACAGGTACTAGAGAAAAGGTTAGATCAAAAAGAATTAACCTAGAAGGTAACACCCACGCACAGGAAATCAATGTGAGTCAATGCCCTGTATAGCTATCCTTATCTCAACCAGCAAAACCCCTTGTTCCTTCCTATTATTGCTTATACTCTCTCTACAACAAAATTAGAGATAAGGGCAAAATAGTTTCTGCTGGGTATTGAGGGGGGGGGAGAGGGAGGGGGTGGAGTGGGTGGTAAGGGAGGGGGTGGGGGCAGGGGGGAGAAATGAACCAAGCCTTGTATGCACATATGAATAATAAAAGAAAAAGAAAAAAAAAAAGAGAGAGACTAGGTTGTGGCCTTAAGAGCTCTCTTCCTACTTAGGGCATTGGATGTCCCTCTTAAAACGCTCCTTCCTGCCATGTTTCCTTCAGACATTCCTCTTAAACCTGATTGCTCCTGTCTTGCCTCTGAGCTCACCTTTAAACTCTTGGCTTTTATTTACATCCAGTTCTCCATTTTACCCCATGGATTTAATGGTTAGACTTATCTTGGCTTTTTAAACTTCCCTGTGCAGGATTCAAGTCTTGGTTCTCTCTCTCCTCACACTGAAGCCCTAGGTACTTCCTGCTAAACCCCATTTCTCTGGCTGGCTCTAGAGAGCATAGCCTGTGATAGGTTCTCAAAAACCAAGGTCAGACAGCCATCCTTATGCCAATCTCCCATCCATGTTTGGCATGATGATTCTGACTTGCTGGATCTTTCCGCGACCTGCTTTCATCCTGCCCTTTTCCAGAAACGTGGGCAATTGATTCTCTAGCAATTACAATTCTCCTTGCTCAACTGTGGAATATTTTAATGTTGGGCTTCTCAGTCCCAAGATGCTGTGCCCAGCCAGGTACCGGTGGCTTATGCCTGTAATCCTAGTTACTCAAGAGGCAGAGATAAGGAGGATCACATTCGAAGCCAGTCCCAGGCAAATAGTTCTTGAGACTCCCCCATCTCAAAAAAACCTACCACACAAAAGGGCTGGTGAAGTGGCTCAAGCAGTAAGGGCACATGCCTTGCAAGCGTAAGGTGCTGAGTTCAAACCCCTGTGCTGCAAAAAGAAAAAAGATGCTGTGCCCACCACTAATGGGCCATCTGCCCCTTAGGCTAGCAGCACCCTCTAGTGGCAGGGACACCACCGTGACCAGGAGCACTAATAATAGTAAATCAATTGTTTGTGTTTATTTCTGTAGTTATTTTTATATATTCTAGTTATATTAGTAATTTAGCTTTGCATCAATCCATTAAGGTAATAAGCATTAATTGTTCTTATCACCACTTTACAGAGAAGGAAACAGGCACAGGGAGATTGAGCAACTTGCTAGCTAGGAGCAGATTCAGGCTCTGAGCTCAGGAGCTGGTCCCAGAGTCAGTGGTTTCACCTCTACACAACATTGTTTCTCAAAACAACAGACAGCACCCCACACTACTCCAAAACCCTCCCAAAAATTTTTTCTGGGGCAGGTGTGCCACAGGCCTGCAGATGGGTAGCATGGGTGCCTTCCTCCTTTCACACCTGGCGGATAAGATGAGTGGATGATGGTACTTCTGTGCTGACTGCTCAGACCACTGCTCCATGATTCCAGAGCACCGAGTTGCACATTCAGGGCCTTGACTTGTGTTCTTCAGCAGAAAAACCAGCAGGAACGCCTGCTGAGACCTTAGAACATCAAATTTGCAAAACAAGACATCAGAGATTGTCTAACATAGGGGTTCCCAAACTGGGATTCCCAAAGGCAAAATATTGGGTCATATGGGCTATTTCCAGCCCCATATTTCACCTAATCTAAAATGCCATCAATGTAAAATACAGCATTATTTCATGCGTCGCTGAGAAAGAACAAATGCTGCCTATTAAGCTAATTACCCTATTTAATCCCAGGGATCCAGCTAGTGGCAGGCCTGCTCAGTCTGGGCGTGAAGGAACTGCAGGGCAGGCTTAGCTTCTAAGCAGCTCTATGTTGGGCAGGAAGCACTCAAAACAACAGTGAGAGACTGTGGCTTCTGCTTCCACTTAGCATTTAGCCAGGGGATTTCACAGCTACGAAGAAGAGACCGCCTACATGTCCTGTTCATTGGCTACCGTGGCTGGCACAGATTCATTTACCACCTACTGATATACGTCACACGTGTCATATGCACAGCTCTCCCTTTTCCCCATGCTGAACAGCACAGAAAAACCATGAAAGAAGGGTCAGCTACTGGGAAATAAGAAGTCAACATCAAATCTTTTGTGTCCATTGCTGACTTGAGTTCAATCTCTTTTAGAACAACGTACGATCACTTGATTCCAATCCCAAGGTTAGTTAATGTCAGAAAGTTTACTTGATCTACTATACAAATAACTGTCTTCACATTTTGAACTTAAGGGTCATGATTGTCAAGCCTAAGGTCACCTTTGAAGTCTGAAGGGTATAAAATGACATTCCATCTCTTGAGGTTTCTAGATAATTCCCTTATTTTTACACCCTTCCTGGAATATATTCAATATACATCAAAGACAGACTTTGAGCTAAAACATTTGTTTCAGCCAAAGCGAGGTATTGTTCATTTTCTTTTTAACCAGTACAAGTAGGCATATGCAAAAATCTCATCCTGGTTTTTTTCCTTCCTTCCTTTCTTCTTTCCTTCCTTGGTATGAACTCAGGGCTTCACACTTGCAAAGCCAGCACTCTAGCACTTGAGCCACACCTCTAGTCCATTTTGTTCTGATTATTTTGGAGATGGGTTCTCAAGAACTATTTGCCTGGGCTGGCCTTGAACCAGTGATCCTCTAGATCTTAACCTCTAGGATTACAGGTGTGAACCACTGGCACCCAGCTGGTTTTGTTGATTTTTTTTTTTTTGAGTTTTATCCAGAGACAGAAATCCACTATGATTATTTTTAGATTATAACTGTTAACACATGTTAATTGTATAAATTAATGACTTCACTATAACATTTCCATGGATGTAATGTCATGCATAGATTACGTCCGCCCTTCCCTCTGCCTTTTCTTACTCTCCCCTCTCTGCTCCCTCCCCTGGCCCCTTTTTCAGCCCCTACAATATTGCTATTTACTGGGGGGGAGGGCTTTATAAGAAGGCTGGTACCCAATGATGGTCCATTTAATTCTTTATTCTAAAATAAAAGGTGGATTTTGCCATCACATCTTGCCTCAGCAGCAGACATTCTGCTTTTGTTTTTCCCCTTTCTCTCCTTTGCACTGTCTTCCTTGACATACTAGGTATTCAACAAGTGTCAGTGAGCTGCTTCTCCTCTCTCTTCTAAGATCTCTAAGGGGGCTGGGGATGTAGCCCAGTGGTGGAGCACTTGCCTAGCATGCGCAAAGCTTGGGTTCGATCCCCCTTCCCCCAAGAAAAGAAAACAGCTCTAAGGACTCCAGATTGTTGGAGTTCATGCTGAAAGGGAAAACTCTGTGAGATTTCTGTGAGACAAAGGTCAAGACATTGTCTTTAGATCACTTTTAAAAGAACTGAAGAATGGGAGCATAAATATCCTTTGAGGACCAGAAGAACACTATCCCTAGGATCTTTTTTTAAGAAAATGTAATGAACAGCTTGTTGAACTATAATTTACATTCCAAAAACTCACCATCTAAGAGCAATGATTTTAATACATTTACAGAACTGTGCAATCATCCCTACAACCAACTCTTAGACCACTTACAACACCTCAAAAAGAAACTTGGGCTCACTTGCAATTCCTTCCCTCTTGTGTCTCCCTCTAGCTTAGGCAATTACTACTCTACTTTCTTTTTCTACAGAGTTCATTCTTTGGACATTTCATACAATTGTAAGGGCTGGTGGAGTGGCTCAAGTGGTAGAGCACCTGCCTAGCAAGTGTAGGCCCTTAGTTCAAACTCCTGTACCACCACCACCAAAAAAAAAGAAAAAATTACACTCGTACAATTGCAGTATGTCTGGCTTCTTTCACTGAGTGTAATATTTTTGAGGTTTGTCCGTGCTAATGCACATTTCAACACCTCATTTTTCCAGTTGTAATGAAATGCACACATCAGAAAATGTACCACCTTAAAACCATCTGTGTCAAGTTCAGTGACATTTACTGTTGTGCAATCACCACCACCATCATCTCAAGGACTCTTCAACTTCCAAACTGAAATAATGTGCCTGTTATACAATAGCTTCCCATTTCTCCTTTCCCTCAGCCCCTGGAAGCCCCCAGTTGACTCCTCCAGTTGCCTTGTATGAGTACACTCACAGTATTCGTCATTTGGCAAATGGCTTTTTCCCTTGGCACAATGCCGTTAAAGCTTATCCGTGTTGTGCCATGTGACATCCCTTCATTTCTTCTGATTGCGTTCATGAGGTGGATAGTTCACTTAAAAATACATTTGTGCTGGTGGAGTGGTTCAAGTGGTAGAGCACCTGCCTAGCAAGAGTGAGGTCCCAACCCCATACCACCAAAAAAAAAAATTCACCAATTGATAGACATTTAGATCATGTCCTGTTTGGGGCTATGACGGCTAATGCTGCTGCAAGTGTTCTGGCAGGACTTTTTTGTGTAGATGCGTGGTGTGGCTTGATTACTCCTACGTAGATACCTAGTAGTGGAATTGTCGCATATACAGTTTTCCTATTGCTGCCCTAACAAATCATCACAAACCTAATGGCTTAAAACAGCACAAATTTATCTTGCTGTTTTGGAGATCAAAAGTCAAAATGATTTTAACTTTTTAAGTTAAAATCCAGGTGTGGGCAGAACCATATTCTTTTTGTTTGTTATTTTGAAGTTTTAACAAGGGTTTATTTTAGTATAGCAGGAGAAAGTAGAGAGAAATGGGAGAAACATTTCCTGCTCCCTGCACAGGAAATGGCAGCAAAGGCTCTCAGAACTATGTTCTTCCAAGAGACTTTAGGGGGGAAAATATAACCCTTGCCTTTTCTAGCTGCCTACATTCCTTGGCTCAGTGCTGCATTCCTCTGGCGTTAGCTCCTATTGCTGCATCTCCTCTGACTCTTCTCCTATCTCCATCTTTCCCTTATAACAATCCCTAATTGTTAATTGGCCCATCTGGGTGGTCCAGAACAGTCTCCACTTAAGATACTTAAACATATCTGCAAAGTCCTCTTTGCCATATTAAGTAATACATTCATAGGGCCTGGGAATTAGGATGTGTACATTTGTAGGGGACTGTTATCCCACCTACTGCACTGAGCTCTATAATAATTCTATATTAAACGTGAAAGCATTGAACTGTGCTCCACAGTGGCTGCTCCATTGTACATTTCTACCAGTGACAGATGAGAGTTGTAACTTCTCTCTGGCTTCACCAACACTTGTTATCACCATCCTGTGGGAATGAAGTGGTCTGCTGTGGTTTTGGTTTGCATTTTCCTAATGATCAATGAAGATCTTTGCCTGAGCCTAGGATCATTTCTGCTTATTTGGTTTGTTTTTATCAGGAGCTGGAAGGACTGTGGAGATAAAACACATCCCTAAGCTTCTCAGTGTGCTATCTCTCGCCCTTCCCACTCCCATGCACAGCTCCAGGTGGTCTGTGAGCCAGCCGCAGGGCAGAGCATCTGTACCCCGGAGGTGAGAGGCACTAGGGTGCCACCCTCGGTACCATGCCTTACATTCCATCATTGGGCCCACTCCTACAAGGCCAAACCCTTTCCCAGGTTCCCAGTTTGGAAAAATTGAGGCCTTCACTACAATTTGATGACATTTGTCTGTACGTGATTGCCTGAGGTGGAATGGTGAGACAACTGAAATACCACTCTTACTTGTCCGAATGTTTACATTTGTGAACTCTGTTGTTAAAACCATTTTGGAATTACACAGAGCTAGGTGGGGTGGGATAGGGGAGTTCTCCATGCAACAGTGATGAGCCTCCTAGCTATAGAACCCGTCAGTTCACAGTTGAAAGCACAGCCAATGCTCTCACCCACACAGCACGCAAAGATGCCCTGATCAGAATAGTCTCTGCCTTCCCCCTTGAAAACCTAGTCACAACCTTGTAGAGACTGGAAACCCTCTAGAACATTTATGCGGCTCTGATCCCAAAATGACTTGTGCCCATCCTTATGGAACTCAGAGATGGCATTTCTTTTTTTCCTCCCTCCCTTCTCTCTCTCCCTCCCTCCTTCCTCCCTTCTTCCCTCCCTTCTTCCCTCCCTCCCTTCCTCCCTTTTTTCCTTTCTTCCTCTTCCCTCCCTCCCTCTCTCTCTCTTTCTTTCAAAAGAGGGTCTCACTATATGTAATCTAGGCTGATCTTTAACTCATGTCCCTCCTGCCTCAGTCTCCTAAATGCTGAGATTTCAGGTATGGACCACCACACCTGGCAGAGATGGTATTTCTTAGCAGGTTTCTCAACCCGCACCCATCAGAGGCAAACTCTCTGCCTCCATCACCCATCCCTACCTCCATCCTCTTCCTTCACTGTGCCCTAACACTTCTCAAGATTGACCTCTGTCTTCCTACACCTTTTTGGCAAGCCCTGGAGCTCTCATTCATCCAGAAGAGTACCATCCAGCCTGGGTTTAGCAGGCACCCAGTTCTGGAAGCTGATTGACCATGAAGGAAGGGCCATCTAGCTTAGCTGTGCTTTCTCAATGCCACCAACTGTCCCCAACATTTGATAGCTGCCATTTGGAAACTGCCAGTGCCAAATGGAATGT